TCGCCTAATTCTTGTTTTTTTCATCAAAAGTTTCCTTTCTTCTTTGAACGGGGAATATGTGGGGAAGACATTATCTTTTGTCACAGTGAAAGACCGATTAGGTGACCTACATTGTCTCATAAGGAATCAGATGGATCATTTCCAGTAAGCCCGCCACCTGCGTGCGCGAAAAGTTAAGCCCCGACACTTTTTACCAGCCCAAATTTAATGTATGCACAAACCTTGACCTATTTTCGATTAAAACAACAGTTCCTTATCCGCATCTAGGCTCATTTTGTGCATAATTTTTCTCCGTTCGGACCTTAAATGAAATTTCCGACGCTTTTAAATCTCGTTCATGACAAGGAGACGGTAATACGTTTTTGCAAAGTCATGGAGTGATCCATCAGTAACCTTTACGCAAAAATGGCCACCAAATGACACTCATTTGTTTCTTAGAGGTGGAGGCGTAATGCCGGACAGTGTCGGCAAGAAGTCAGTCTTCGAAGGGGAACTTGGCTGGAGCGGTCTAGGGTGGGTTTAGGACAGTAATTCTATTCATTCATTGCTGGTCCGAAAATTTGGCAAAAATCAAATTCTGCTCAGAGGAATTATCTATTAGCCACACGACCGCTGCTGACTGGAAGAAATTTCTTCGCGAAGCTTGCGCCTGGCGGCTTTTGAAGACTCCAACAGCTATCGGCGGCCCAGGTCTACACGTCGAGATCGATCGAACGCTGATATCTCGCCGTAAAACCACACAGGGCGCGTCCTTCCCAAGTAGTGGATTTGTGGAGGGATCTGCCGGGAAACCAAAGAGGTGATCATGTACGCAATGCCAGATCGAACTGCGGCCACTTTGATGGAAAAAATTCAGGCCTGCATCACCTCCGGCTCAATCGTCATCTCCGATATGTGTACAAAATTCATATCCTCTTTTTTCTAAAATTCTTTGGCTGGCGGGTTTAATTTTTTGATGAGACTGATCTGGAAAATATAAAATCAGATCTAGTACACTTCGGTCTATCCAGACCTCAAACACGATAAGAAATTTGGCAAAATTTGCGGCACTAGGTGAATCGATGAACAAACGAGAGTCATTAGTGAATATGACCGGGGACGCTTGTAGATCAGGGTAAATTGGCCAAGTCCTTAAGGAGAACTACCGGTTTATATAGGCTGCGAAAAATGGAACACTCGTTTTTTAACCTAAAATTATCGCTTATGAATACTTTGATCGAAAACGCACTGAAGACTGTCGCACCCTGTTACTTATCGAACAAGCATGTGCTACTGAGATTGCGAAAATTCGAGTTCCGATTGGGATTCTAATCATTGGCAACGCATTTACAGGTTTCAGCACAACGTGCAGTAGTTAGAATTTCATGAGTTTTCATCGAACACACATCCATCAGAAGTTCTGGTCTTGCCGTAGGCAGTGAACATACTGAATGATTACACAGTTTCAAGCTCATCTGATCAATTTTCAGGTAACTATGGCTACTCTAAGAACCCTAAGTGAAACGAATCCGGTAGCGGGGATGGTATTCCACACGAATCAGAACAACACATAACATGTTTTACAAACAAGCAAATGTTCCTCACACTGGAATGCAGAAAGGTGTTTGAAATAGACTAAAACTGTAATGACGGGACCGCTGCAAGCAAGTCCTTCGGCAAAAGAAGAAACAAACCTTTGGTTTCTTCTTCAGTGTGGGTTTGTTCGGCGAAGATCTTTCAAACTTGATAAATAAAGACGGCCGCAGTTTCAAAAATAAAAAAAATTGTCAGATGCAGAGGCGAAAATATGCGAGGAACATTTTAACTCCCCCAATAGGTACACCACTTAATACACTTACCACATATACACATTGACTGACTGAGTGACAGATAAACAGGCAGACAAACGGACAGTTCGGCCGGTAGACAGACAGACAGACAAACAGACAGACAGACAGACAGACAGACATAGATAGATAGATAGATAGATAGATAGATAGATAGATAGATAGATAGATAGATAGATAGATAGATAGATAGATAGATAGATAGATAGATAGATAGATAGATAGATAGATAGATAGATAGATAGATAGATAGATAGATAGATAGATAGATAGATAGATAGATAGATAGATAGATAGATAGATAGATAGATAGATAGATAGATAGATAGATAGATAGATAGATAGATAGATAGATAGATAGATAGATAGATAGATAGATAGATAGATAGATAGATAGATAGATAGATAGATAGATAGATAGATAGATAGATAGATAGATAGATAGATAGATAGATAGATAGATAGATAGATAGATAGATAGATAGATAGATAGATAGATAGATAGATAGATAGATAGATAGATAGATAGATAGATAGATAGATAGATAGATAGATAGATAGATAGATAGATAGATAGATAGATAGATAGATAGATAGATAGATAGATAGATAGATAGATAGATAGATAGATAGATAGATAGATAGATAGATAGATAGATAGATAGATAGATAGATAGATAGATAGATAGGCAGATATAGATTAGCTAGCTCGGTGCAATGAATGTATTCACTTAGCACAAGTTTCAAATGAAACTGAAATCAACCTGAAAGCCCACCTTCTCTATTTCTCGGGACGTAATACTTTAAAACGTAATCCACTGAGCATACACCATCAGAGCGCCGAACACCGCGTATTACATAGCGGCTGTAATTTCTCTAATCCTACACAGATGTCGCGTAGCACGGAATACCACCACATTTAATGTGCCGTATGTGACTTGAGACCGGAAATTAGGTACCGAAATATCTCATTGATGACACATTCTAAATTCTGGTCAATTCTATCTTTCTGTCTGTAGGCAGTAAAAATACAACTGTGATTGATGAGAAGAGAAACACGAATCAGAGTATCTTCACTTCAGTCTAGCTTTGGCCACCAGTTACTTCATGTAAAACGTTCCAACCCATTTGATTCTCCGTGTAGAAGGTGAACCCAGTATTCACCCTACTTGATCACCGGCAGACAGCATACTTGACAACGTAAATCTAATATGGATTCCGCTTCAGAAATTTTCTGATACGGTAAGGGTTTTCATATCTGCAAACAAACACCACTTTTGGATATGAGGTTAGATGGATTGTAACAAAAATGATTTTTCATGACATCCACAATTTTAGCTGGTCACAACCTCACAAAATGTGCTTTGCAAATAAGCCCATCAATCGCCGAGTATTCCTTTTCTGTCCTGAAGAGACTGAAACTCACCGCGGATTAATGGTTTGTGTGCGTGCATATCCCATTAGAGCATAATGGGGTCTGTGAGACTACCAGCGTTTATCTGATTCGAGTTTGCTCGATAGTTAGAGATCTGACAAACGCAGTCCTCTGATCTTTCGGTTCGGCGGTTTGAATGTTTGCGCCAAACTCTTTTCTGTTCCAAACTACTGACAATTTCCTACAAACGTCATTGTGTTGAGGCCACATTCTCGACCCAGATGCTTCAACTGGGGACTCTAGTCGCTTTTCTGTCTAGAATTTTGCACCATTCCACAATCTCAACCTGCATGCAGCCGTGATTCATGCAATTACTAGTACTGCCATATCACATCACCACTGAGTTGTGCCATCAGCCAGGTACAGAGACGCGAATAAGCAAAAATAGACTGCCGATAACATCTTTCTTCTTATTTCGGCCATCGTTTTCTTCTCCCTCCTCCACCTATTATTACTAATCATCTTGAAGATCTATCTGTTAGAACTGAAGGTCTCCGTTATCTTGTATCACCGTTGATCAAGCATCTCGAAATCAATATTCGGTCTCGTCCACTTGTTTGTCTCGTCGCTTAGAATGTTTGCACCCTGAAGAAGGCAAGACATCAAAACCACTCTTCAGCTCACAATGGACTCGCTTGACGTTGATATAAGGTACGTGGCATAAACTAGAATTAGAGAGGGAAACAGGCACCGTGGACGAGCCAACCGATTTTTGCGAATAATGGAGCATTTGTGCTAATCACCAGTAGTGTGCTGACGATGACGGTGTAGCTAATCTCTAGCTCTATGATAGACCGGGTGGTCTATCATGGCCAGTCTGAATGCAAGCAGGTATTGGTACGTTACATTTTAGTATAACCTGCTTTACCACGGGGTCGAATCATACAAATCTAATCTTTTCCACGTGATTGAACATACCTACGGACTTCATGTTCGAAAAATGCCAAACAAGTACGTTCGATTGGCGGGACTGGAGGCAAAATGGGAGAACCATCGCGTATTCAATATTAGATGCTCAAAGCACAACATCATTCCCAAATCCCTGATTGTGAAACCACCGGATACGTCAGCTGCTTCTGCTAAAATTGCTTTGTCAGCGGCCAAGTCATTCCTAAAGCAGAGGATCTACCTAACCACCCAGCGTTTAATTGATGTACGCCGCCACGCTAGTCAACTCAGCCAAACTCTTCAGACCGCAGTCTCAACCACCGACTTCCAGATGCTCAACACCAAAGCCACAGAAGTGAAACTTGCAAACGGCCAGCAATGCAAGGATAGGCAGATCCGTAAGTTCGAACAGCTGCTTTCCATGACTCAGGGCCCCAGAAAGGTCATAGAAACGAAGAAACCATCCACCTATTGATGTAGTGTAGTTAACTTGTCAGATAGACCACTGAGTGAAGACGAACGCTGTCTGTTTGAAAAGGGGCTAAACTTCGCTGTGAGCGAAAAAGTAATAACAGCGGAGGAGATAATTCCTAGTGTAGAGTCAGTGTTTTAAAAAGCTTCCTTCAGCAGAAGCTGAGAAACTACGAATACAACTGGTCACAGTCCTGAAATTCCAACAGCCGGGAGCTCCAAATATTGCGCCCCGGTAGCAGCTTCAATAATGAATAAGAGTAAGGTTGAAGTTGGGAGATATTTAAGATCCGTAATAAACCATTTAGGGCAAGGTAAGTGGAGTGGA